CCGCCCACCTCCTGGACACCAAATAGTCAGGCTTGGTGAGCATGACACTGTCTGCTTAGCATATGTATTCTGCTTGCTTGGAAATTGTCAATAAATAGAGAAGAAGAATATTATTGTGTGAGGCTTTTTCAGTGGAAAAGATCCTGCAAAATTGCAGGAAGTTATGCCCTGAGCCCTAGGAACTGGGTACGGGTGGGTGTGTAAATTAACAGGGTTGCATCTTGAGCCCTAGGAATTGGGTATAGGTGTGTGCCCCTAAAGTGTGGAAGGGATAGAGACATTTGTGCCGGTAACACCAGAGAATAGCCCCAAGGGGACTTCTATGACTGCAGCCCATCACAAAGGCAGAGGGGGAGATCTGAGGCAGGCTGGGAAGAAGGGGTTCAGCAATCATGAGCCTTCATGCATGTCCATGCTGAGGAGCAAGCTGTGCATTGTGCATGTGCACTAAGGAGTGCGCACTGTATGTGTGTGCACTGGGGTTGTGTGCCTAGGCATGTGCACTGGCAGCATGTGTACTGTGTGTGCATGTGTACTGAGTGCATATGTGTGCACTGGGAGTACATGTGCACTGGAGTTGTCTGTGCACTGGGGGCATGTGTACTGTGGATGCGTGTGTGCACACTGCAGTATGTGCACTGGGGTGTGTGCACTGTTTATGTGTGTGCGCACTGGGGGTGTCATGTTATTAGACTGTAAGATGAATAGGCAGATCATTGTTGCACCCACTGGTCTGTGCCTTTCCCAAATGTGGTGCAAAATGGGCCATGGGAGGTATCAAACAAAAGCTTATGTGATGCTGACTCTGTCTAGGCCACTCATGCACTTGTCCACTCTGTGTGTCAAATTATGAAGAAGGGCTTTGGATTGATGTTTTCAGTGTTTTCTGCTGGGAGGAACGGTTGCTCAATGCTGCAGACAGTAGCTCTTAAGGGCTGCCAATTGACCCCTGAGGAGCACACAATGGCCCCTTGCCAGGGAAGGACCCACCTGGGCACTCCATGGTTCTGTGCCTAAAAGAGACAGAAACTCGTTTGTGGGTCATGTGATCAGCCCATTTTAGGAGGCACCAGCACCCAGAAGAAGAATGGGTTTGCGCAAAAACTTGCTGCCTGTCTACACTGGCCGCGAGTTATTGCACAAGAACACTGACGTTCTAATGTGTGAAATCAGGGCTTCTTGCACAAGAACTATGACGCTCCCGCTCAGGAATAAGTCCTCTTGTGCAACTGTTCTTGCACAAGAGGCCAGTGTAGACAGGCAACATGAATTTCTTGCGCAAGAAAGCCCGATGGCTAAAATGGCCATCAGAGCTTTCTTGCGCAAGAGAGCATCTACACTGGCACAGATGCTGTTACGCAAAAGCACATCTCTTGCGCAAAAGCACATGCCAGTGTAGATGCTCTCTTGCGCAAATACTCTAATGCAAAAACTCTTGCATTAAAATTATTTGTGCAAGATCATGCCAATGTAGACGTAGCCTTAGAGTCTAAAGTACTGGACCAGCGTGCTCTTTTGGGTAAGAGCCAAGGTATAAATTGACCAGGGACTGTGGCTGGCCCTTTGGGACTGGGAGAACCTGTTCAGAGTTGGTGAGATTGGGTTTTATAACCTTTCACCTGGGTAAGGGGCAGTGCTGGTGGTGGCACAGGGAGCACTAGGGTGTCTACGGGGTGTGAGACTTCTTGCTGGCTAGGGTGGTGGCTGAAGTGCTCTGTGTGATTAGTTGGGTTCCTGACAGAGAAGGACCCCCAGTCCTGGGCTGTAAATAGCCCTGGTTCTAAGCAATTTACCCTGATTGATACTCTCAGCGGTGCCCAGTCCTCACCTGTGATATTACAGGGGGCGTGTGCACTGTGCATGTGGGCGCACACTGGGGCGTGTACACCCGCGCACTGGGGCGTGTGCACTGTGCACGTGGGCGCGCACTGGGGCGTGTGCACTGTGCACGTGGGCGCGCACTGGGGCGTGTGCACTGTGCACGTGGGCGCGCACTGGGGCGTGTGCACTGTGCACGTGGGCGCGCACTGGGGCGTGTGCACTGTGCACGTGGGCGCGCACTGGGGCGTGTGCACTGTGCACGTGGGCGCGCACTGGGGCGTGTGCACTGTGCACGTGGGCGCGCACTGGGGCGTGTGCACTGTGCACGTGGGCGCGCACTGGGGCGTGTGCACTGTGCACGTGGGCGCGCACTGGGGCGTGTGCACTGTGCACGTGGGCGCGCACTGGGGCGTGTGCACTGTGCATGTGGGAGAGCACTGGGGCGTGTGCACTGTGCATGTGGGAGAGCACTGGGGCGTGTGCACTGTGCATGTGGGAGAGCACTGGGGCGTGTGCACTGTGCATGTGGGAGAGCACTGGGGCGTGTGCACTGTGCATGTGGGAGAGCACTGGGGCGTGTGCACTGTGCATGTGGGAGAGCACTGGGGCGTGTGCACTGTGCATGTGGGAGAGCACTGGGGCGTGTGCACTGTGCATGTGGGCGCGCACTGGGGCGTGTGCACTGTGCATGTGGGAGAGCACTGGGGCGTGTGCACTGTGCATGTGGGAGAGCACTGGGGCGTGTGCACTGTGCATGTGGGCGCACACTGGGGCGTATGCATGTGACCGCGCACTGAGGCGTGTGCACTGGCCCAGTGCGGTGCCAGGCATGGCTGGTAACTAGCCACAAGAGCTGAAGGCAAAGCCAGAGACAGCATCCAGGAGCCAAACCCCAAATCCGGTCTCGCCCTGTTCTTTCCACACTGCTCTGTCTCCAGATGCGCCCATTTCATTCCGCTGGGCGCAACAAGCCGGCACCCTGGGCAGGACGGAGCTATGTGTTGTCAGGGCTGGGCTGGACAGCTCCCTTCCCAGTCCCACCTCTGCTGAGACCACAGGTGCGACCCACCCCACTCTGTCCTGACTCCCACCAGCCATTCACCATCACAGCAACGAAATGCCCCACATGTTCCCTGAAGATGGGGAAAGAAGGAAGCAGCCCCCTGAGCCAAGGGATCAGGGAGCGCAGGGCATAGGAGGGGTGTTCAGGCTACAAGGGGCTTGGTGGAAGGAGACTGACACCAATACCCAAGCCTTAGGAGTTCCAGGGGGATTAGGGGCCTATGGACAGATAACTATGCCCAGGTGGTAGGGAGCCCAGGGAATAGGAGCTGATGGGGGGGGCACAGATGCCTATGCCCAGGCTGCAGGGGTCTGAGGAGGATTTGCTGTTGCTTTAAAAGAACCAGCTCCTGGCCAGAAAGGAGACTGTGTAAATACAGGTTTCAGGCCTCGCTGCTGCCCTGTCAAGCCCCCCCCC